TACTCCCATCAATATATTGTTATCAAATTAATTATAATAAAATAGAACGAACTGAACATACTGAACCGAAATATTTTTTGTTCGTTTTTCTGTTCTTTTCTTCTTTTTACCTTGCATTAAAATTTGTATATGAAATCTTTACTTTCTTTAATTTTATATTTTTTTATTCAAATATTTATCATGAATAAATTTTCGTAAATTGTTATGTGCGGCTCGCCAAAAAAATTTGAATTGAATTTAAATTGGCCAATTGATTAAAAAGGTTGCTTTAGACCCCTGCGTTAGACGATGCATACGTGAGTTGGAAAAGTGAAGCTACACTCGTTTTACTACTGCTGTAGGCGTTTACAAACCCTACATTTGCATAGTATATACCGAGGAAACGAGGGTAGTAGCTAGCGAACTCGCTAAGAATATAGTTAACCAATGGAGAAGATGAAATAATTGCAAGTGAACAATCATTTGATTTTGTATTGGCAATTTTTATTCATGTGCAAGTCATTTGTGTCTTGAAAGTGCAGTTAACCCTTATTTAAAGAAATAACAACACTATTACTTCATACATCCGTTCCTAATATCGCCTTTTGAGTGCGTGATCTCAAACAAATATTGGGTTAAATAAGAAATGCAAACCCTTTGAAGTAAATTTACAATTTATAAGTAAACTTACACAGGCAAGTAAAGGGCCTTTAACTTATTAATTGAATAAATTGTTTTTAAATATTTTTCTGTGGACTTATTATGTCTTTGACAATTAATTTTTCTAAGATGATAGGGTCATCATGGAATCATACACAAAAAACAATTCAAATTGCATTTCTGTGCGTCAGAATGGCTCCTATCTATACCACTAAGGAATTGAATTAACATATTAAAAAAAAAACATCATCTTCAAGTTTTGTTTATGTAATATTTCTATTTCTTACATGGCTTAAGAGAGAATGGTTAAATACAGAATATGTTACGTTAAAGTTTTTAAATTCCGTTAATTTTTATTCAATTTTACCAATTTTATCGGGGGCATAAGGTAGAGTTATAATATATGATTGGATATAAAACTTATATTTACGCCATCTATTGCCATCTTGACTAAATGGAAAATGTAGGTTGTATTCAACAACTAGTTTCCATCTCAAACTGTAGAAGTCTCAAATCTGATGTTTACTGTTACAAATATGTTCACTTTTGATATTTAAATGGGCAATAGAAAATTGAGGTAAGCAATTTTTTAATAAAAAAAGAAATCTTCACACACACACACGAGGACGTCACTAATAGTCAAAGCTTGATCATGCACTCAAAAACCAAAGATTATTACCAAAAACAATTGCAGCATATTATTGGGTTTTACATACATGAAAATGAACATAATTAAATTGAATATTGACATTTGTAAATTATTTGTATTACAACGGCGACATTTTTATTTAAAAAAGTTAAGAGATTATTAATTTCAATAACAATGAACATCACTCGCAAATAAAAGAAAGCATGCGCGCAGCAGTCTTAGCGTTGCACAGATGAGTTAGTCCGTCCTGGGAAGAACCACGACCCCACAGAAGACCAATGTAAGTGATATACTTATGCGTTTCTTCTGGTTTGTTAGGTATATATTACCTAACAAACCAGAAGAAACCGTTACTTTATTGAAAGGTGAATATGCACTTATAACCTTATGGGTACTGTAAATGTCCATGGGCTCTGGTTACTTCAGAGTCAGGTAAACCACCAGCTCTCTTGCCATCTTCTTACATATAAGAAACAAGGTAATACGGAACAGATTTAATCTTTTAAATGTAAGATCAATAAATATTTGAAAAGTTTAATTTTATTTAATAGTATTAAAAACAAATACCGGAAATAACTCTTAAAGGTATATACAAACAATTTTCCATATTTTTCTACGGAATACTACTCAGCGTAAATTTTTGAAAAGCAGCACTTGACGGATAGGATAGGTAACATTGTTTATTATTATTTGAATTTGTTTTAATTTGTGTACAGGTAATATATATAGGAAAGTTCGTGGAAAAAATAATGTAGTTTTGATAACCTTTAAACCAAAGAAACCATAAAAGATTATAAAAGGTACGATGCGTCATTACTCTAAAGACGGTCAAGTTATGGAAGTCACCTGACATTCAACATGACATATTTGCCAGCTCTTTTTTTGACATTTTTCGTTATAGACTTTTTGCTGACGGTGCTGCTTTCGTTTCTCACAACCAGTCAGGGCTCCAAATCCTCGTGGATAAATTCGCTAGAGCATGCGATCTATTTTCTAAGTCAATCAATGCCATATTGGCGCAGGAGTGTTCAGAGCAGCCTTCTTGCTAAATGGTACACCCCTTGAGGTGGTCAGTATGTTTTGCTAATTCGGATCGCAAGTATCGAGTGATCTTTCGCTTGGCGTGGAAATCGATTGTCGCATCGGCAAAGCAGCCAGTTCATTCGGGAAGCTGCGTAAATAAAAACGAAAATACCTATTTACCAAGCGTGCGTCCTAAGCACTCTTTTGTACGGATTGGAATCCTGGACTCCACGAACGCCGACTGAATACGTTTCATCAGCGCTGTCTTCGGAGCATAATGGGCATCACCCCAGTGGCTTGGGCATGTGTATCGAATGGAGCAGTCTCATTTACCGCGGAAACCCTACTAGAAGATATCGCAAACGCAAAAAGATCGGTCGGGTGGCCAGTACTCCTCTTTAAAGCGTGACATGGCTGCTTTTAACATCCCTAGCGACCAATGGCAGGAGCTGGCCGAGGATCGTCTCGAGTGGCGTCGCCTAATCCACGAGGGCCAGTCCAAACACGACGACGCCTGTTTCAAGGTATTAAAAGAGAAACGCATAAAACGCTACGAGCAGGTCTCCCATCCTCGCCCACCTGAGAGCATACACTTGTCGTGAGTGCGGTCGAGGGATACTCTCTCGCATAGGCCTGTACAGCCATGAACGCAATTGTCGTCACCCTGATGCTGCTTAAAACATCTGACACAGATGAAAAGGCCTGCTTTTGTTATGTTTTACATATACATTATTGATTTTTATTACATTTATATGTTTGGTAAAATTTCTAATAATGTACACACCTTCACCTAGTTACATTATTAAGTTTTTCACTTTTAAAAAGTCTGCGGACGAGAACTCTCTTAATTTTTAGCTCGCCTTTGTACAACATGTTTTTTGCTTTTCGTTCCAACTGTGTGTACATTAAAAAAAAAAACAAAAGATAACATTTGCCTGGCATGCGTCTCTACTTTCATGTGAAAACTTGTAATCACATTTTTTTAATAACTAAATAACATAGGTTAACTAGAAAGCTTGGTACAGGGAGTTTATATATTTTAGTACCTGAGAAATTTCTCACACACTAAAACTAGAATTCTAGTATTTATTTACACAGACGTAATAATGATGAGATGAATCAATACGATGAACATGAAAGAGACAACAACATAAAGTGAACATGTGCGAATTTCCAAGTATAATCGATCTTGATGACTTAACGTGCTATTTTGCATAAACTACAAAAGGATTAAATTTTGAACACGATTTTTTTGTTTATTGTGTATATACCGTGATCAGTCCTTGACATTGTGTGACCTCTTGTTACTAAAATTGCACGGATGGTGAAGTACGAAATTTCTTACACTTATAGTTTATATAGAGGAGTGCAGAATGATATTTTTTTTAAAATGATGCATAAAAAACATTTAATATATAAAAATACATTACACATACCTATTATGTATAATTAATTATGGCCGAAGTTCGATGACGGGGCGACCACTTGTAAGATATAAAGATGAATTTATATTTCGGCAAAGTGACAATTTCGTCTATTCAAACAGAAGTTTTTGAAAAAGCGGATACAGTAAAACACCGAACGAGATAAAATTTGTACATAATTATACCTATATGTCGTGTTTTTATCTATAACTTATATATTTAATAATAACTTATATTTATATAGATAACTTTACGCTTTTTTGATGAAGAAGGATCTCTTTTCCTAAATAGAATTTTGTTTTATCACGTAAATGAATTCGATTTAAATAAACACGCACTCATCCAAATAATATTTGGGTACATATTCATCGGTGTCAATTTATATATCCAAACTTTCACTTATACAATCAACTTGAGGCAGAAATTAGAAAAATATTACATACGTTCTTAGTTTATAATCTGGGATGTTTTTAATTAAGTCTTACGATTCGGCCATATTTGTTATTACAATGAAATAACCCGTGGTAATTTAAAATTTAGTTTGTGCTTATTTAAAATTATTGTGATATTTGATTAATAAAATATTTATAAACAATTAACGTACTATTATTTATACTTAATTAACAGTTTCAAATAAAAAGGTACAATATAGAAGGATGTCTTCTACTGAGGAATTGAATATTTTAGAAGCGTAAACCTTATAAAACTTACGAGTATGCAAAATTATTGCAACACGTCTAAAGTTGACACGACTTGTGATTAAATATAATTTATTTGTTTCAGGTACATACTCTACGGGCGCACAATTTATTTCATACATAAAGTAATTAGAGGTAAATTCAACAGAGTGCTTATGGTGATTGTAGCATTAAAATTAATAAACAATCCTTATTAATTTTAATTTTATTAATTTATTGGAGGATATTCTTATTATGAATTAAGCTAAATTGCGCACAATATCCAAAAATTTTGTGATCCAGCACAAAATAGTGAAGAATTAACCATTACTCTTTAAATACGTAGCAATAAAGTTTGTTTAAAAGAAAGCAAATGATTTTCTTCCCGTAGCTATAGATATTTCTTCCAGCTTCCTTTATTTCAAATTCAAAAATACTCTACTCATACAAACAATTGTAAATTTAATAAAACAGTGCTATCTAACAAATATGGTGTAATATAGATAATATTTAAAGACTAAAATGCAACTGAAAATTTTACATTCTTGTTTTTATTTGTTAAGAAATTCTGTTTGAAGCTTCTTATCAAATCAGGTGTTGCAGAATCAAAGCCTTGCAGAATCTTGAAACACTCTCTTCTCCATCTTTTCTGCATCTGAAAATTAAAAGAAAAAAATAACGTTTAATGTATTGCAAGAATATGACCAGAATTTAAAGTTTATTTGGAGATTTGCTAAAATTGGGCTTGTATATATTTTTAAATTTCTTAAAACTGATGCTTTAAAATAGTATATTTTGATTTAGCATATTTTAATTTCTACGCAACGATTTTTTTAATAAGTAATTTAACAGGACATTTTTCATTTTTATTTTGTATCAAAGTAATTCTTTTGTCTTAATTCTTTTGTTTATTACAACAATTTATAAACAGGAAATCAGTGTTTTCCATGTCTTTTGCTATAATTCATTTATTGATATTTCAGTTCTTTTTAATAAATAAAAGTCAAGCAAGGAATGGTAGATTCATCGTTAATTAAGTAGTAATTAAAATATCAATAATGCAGTAAAACGTTAGAAACCTTAAAAAAATGTGACAGCTGGGGATCTAGGGTTTGTGAAAATGGAGCATTGTGCGTATTGAACAATGTTTTAAAATAAATGAAAATTAGAAATGCTTCGAAAACTTTATACAAAATAGTGTAAAATTATATTGATTAATTGTAAAATTCAGGGAGAATGGATAAGTTGAAGACGCTAAACAAACCGGTCGTGCGTGAGAGTATTGGTGAAGACCCAGGAACAAAGGTCTATGACAACACCCTGTGCATTAAATGAGAAAATTAAATGCAGCATCAACGAAATTTTGACACAAAGATATGCGTATGCGCATGCAAAACCGGAGTCCATTGAGGCCATTTGTCCGATTTATTATTCCATAATATCCTATATATTTTATGAGATGATTAGGTCATAGTTAGGAATTATGGAAGCCATAGTTTAAAAAGGATAAATAAAAGTTAAAAGCTTAACTTGTATCAACATTTGGGTTAAAATTTTTATATGTACACAGCGCACAGGAACTGTGTCTCTCGGAACGATGGCTACAATGGGAACTACGAATTAATTTTGAAGACTAACCTGCTTACTGTCTAAGAATGTGAAATAATCTTCTCAATGTATTTTTACTCTGACTCATCTTGAGTAGCTATAGAAGGGAAGTGTAACAATTCAAAGTTCCTAGACTATTCGGTGCAATATCGATTGCTGCAGCAAGTCCACTGTGCGATGTTCAGTTTCACTTTATGATACCTTGCATTTGGATGTTTCTTGATCCAAATGATATTTTAATAAAAGAAACTTAAAATTGCACATACTGCTGAAATGCCTGAGTTACCAAGAGCACAATATAACTGTAACACTAAATAACTGAGGCGTGTCTGTGCAAATATGTTGTAAATTACTGACATCGCATTCCGTGCGCCGCAACGCCACGCTAGTGCGCAGGTCCAATGCAATTACTGAATTTTGCTCTCAACGTGGAATAGGGGAGAAAGACGAATGTACATTATTTAAATTTAAATTTTTAATAACAACTTAAACATATTTCATTTCTAGATCATTATCATCTTAACAATCAGATTTTATTTAAAATAGTGGATGCTGTTTACTTAAACTATATTTATCCCTAAAATTTAAACATAATTGAGGTACTTTAAACAAAACAGATATATATTAGATTTATTTTATGATTTCAATCATCGACATTGTTAAAATTAGCTCATTACAAATCGAATATAGGAAAAAAAGTATGTGTTTCAGAAGACAATTCAGAGGGTATAGATATTATTTAATCATATACCATAGTTCTATATTATTTCGAGGCACCAGTAACAGGAATTCATGACAGACTAGGCGGATGATTGTGAGTAAATGCACTGCACCGAACTCTGTGTAGGAAATACACAGAGACGCGCTTAATTATGCACACTTGAAGAATACTGTTACAGCCTTAGCATGTGCAAGTGAGACAAAAGTAGCGCAATTAACCAGGTAAAGGCAAGGATGGAAAAGATAAGACAATGTTGCACCATTATTTTGAGGGGTGTAATAAAACCATATTTTTCGAAGAAAGAAATTATTTTATTTATGAGTTGTATTGTGTAGGTAGAATTTTTTTTAAAGCATGTAAATAATTATATAATTTAGATCGATAATATTTTCTGTTCTGTTGTTTACTGGCAACGTGAAAAGGAGAAAAAGCCCATTTTTTTAGCCATTTAGTTTTTATTGCCGTTATTGCTGTTATTGTTCATAATCTAAATTTACATGTAATCAGAGATGCTGCACCTTTTGCACGAGTTGCATTGTCGTTCAACTTAGGTGCATAATAACGATGCAGCTCTACCAGGAACTCAGAACACGGAAAGAGGTAAGTTTTAATCGACAGGTGGTGCACTTTTGAAGCAATAGAGAGAGCAATTGCGACGGAACGAGATAGGAACACTAACGTAGTAAAATCAATATTTTCAGCTGACCCGCCAAATTTAAACTGCATCTTTGAATGATTTGAAGCCTAAAACCACCTTGGTATTTTTTGTCAAAATGTTTATAAACTTTTAAAGAAATAATACTATAACTTTTATCCTTCTTTATTTGAAGACTATGGCCGCAAAGAAGAAGACCTCAAAAATGCAATTTGCAGCACCAAGATTGAAATTGATTTGAAATGAATAAAATAATATAATTCATATAATTAAGATCGTTAATATTTTCTGTTTACTGGCAACGTGAAAAGGAGAAAAAGCCCATATTTTTTTCATGGTTTTAATTATTTCCCTTATTGCTGTTCTATTATTTTAGTTCATAATTAATAAATTTACACGTAATCAGACATGCTGCACCTTTTGTTCCACAAGTTGTATTGTCGGTCAACTTAGGTGCATAATAACGATGCAGCTCTACCAGGAACTCAGAACCCGGAAAGAGGTAAGTTTTAATCGACACGTGGTGTACTTTTAAATCAATAGAGAGAGTAATTGAGAGGGAACGAGATAGGAACACTAACGTAGTAAAATCAATGTTTTCAGCTGATACGTTGGCCTCCAAATTTAAACCGCATCTTTGAATGATTTTAAGCCTAAAACCTCCCTGGTATCTTTCGATATCTACTTATTACGTCTAACTCTAGGAATTTCAAATTGTGAGTATAATAAAACTTATATATTTACCGATTACAATTTAATGTTATACTGAAGGTGGCTGATAGTTAATGATTTCTAAAGTAATAATCTTTTTTCAACAGAACACATTCTCGTATGAATTTTCGATTACAAATTAAATAACTGAAGGTTTTCCTTATATTATTATATAAAAAATAATAAATAAATATGAAAAATAATTTCCAATAATAATATTATAATAAATGTTAATATTTTTATCATACGCATTTTAGACGTATTCAAATTATAACTAAAGACCTAAAAACTGATCAGATTGTTAAGTGCGACGTGTAGTCTACGCGGTAACTAGAAGCAATCAGCTACGCTCCGACGCTACGATTCTCGTAGCCTTTACACCATCCGTTAAATAACGTTCGGTGGTTCGAATATTCTTATGGGCGAGAATAATAAACAATAATGGATGATATAAGTGTTAGAGCATATATTCACTTTACAAATCGGATAAAAATTATACAGTTAAATACCGCAATGGTGTATAAAAGCCGCCCCGACAGACGTCCTCTACACGCGGCTTACATCCTACAACAACCTATAAATTAAAAAAGAAATTAGTGAAATGAATTGTGAATCCAAACCATTCTCGGATCGACCTGAAGACACACAAAAAATTTCATTAACAACACGTATAGAAGAATTATACTTATAAAGATTGTTATAACAGATCACCAATCCATCAGGGCTGTGTTTATAAATTACTCAAGTTATGCATAATCACGATACCCATCAACAAGGAGTGCATAGGTTTCAGGAGTTTGCAGGCTCTCGATAAACCCACAAACACATACATGATTTCATAGGGATAGTAGACATGTCTAGAGCAGTGTGAGTGCAAATCTACGTATGAATGTGCTCAGTTATCGATTAATAGAAACGTGATAACTTGTTTGTATTTCAACATGATAGAAAGAGACAGTGATAAACCAGAATATGTGTTAGTGTACAATGATTGTTGTAGGGCCGTCATAGTATGAGGGAGACAAGAATAGTGCGATTCGTACTGACAGATATAGCCTATATGAATCGTAATGGCGCCAATTTCAAACAATGTTAACTTTTCACTTTAATTCTCTTATAAGGAGAAACTTACTTCTTTGAGGAAATTATTAACACTAAACTGATAGGATTAGTAAGTGAAATGAAGTCTTAAGTATTTTGCTTTTACCGAGATGCATTATATGGACAGTGTAGATAGAGTACTCACTAGATCACGCTATTCTCATACAACTGCCCTGGTGTATGACTTAAAACAAGGGCCGCTTTATGATGTAAACCAGAAATAAATCACGAGTTAGCCATTTTCCGTTTCAATTTTCTTCCATATATTCCGCTTCCTAATTTTCTTTACTTTTCTAGCTTGGTGTTGCAACAACACAAGTAAAAATAATTAATTATTTAGTAAAAACAAATATTTATTTTATTATCGTTCCATACATTTTGCTTATCATCAAGAAATTAATGAACCAATCAGTTATTAAATGATCCCATTGCAAATATGCATACAGTTTCTCTTATTGAAAAACTGCCTTTTTATTACAAAACTCTTGGACTATTCATGAATATTTTGAACTTTTTCGTTTGATTTCGTTTTTAAACTTTTTAAATATTTAATACAATTTTTTTACAAATATCGTTTTCATTGATTACATAATAAATGTTATTAAATAAGTTTATAGAAATATATAGTAAAGATAGCGTTGGTTGTATTAGAATAAACATTAAGCGATTTTTTTTTATTTCGAACGATGCAGGTTTTTTCGTAGGTAAAACATATAAATTCGTTTGAGTGCTGGCAGATATTACAAATTCAAAAGAAATATATAGATATATAGATACCTTCGAACTAATATTATCATTGATAACATAACGCAACCGAATAACCATTTGCCAGATGGTATTCGAGATGAATAATGACAGCTAATCCCTATTAAATATTATAAATGTGAATGTAAGCTTTTTTGTTACGCTTTCACGCCAAAATTACTCAACCGATTACCATGAAACTTTGTACAGATATTCTTAGAGATGTGATTCTTTTTTTTAAATAAAAAGATATTTATTTAAGGTCTTCAATGTGAGCGAAGCAGCGGGTAAAATCTACTTTTCAAATTAGTAAAGCGCTTTTAAAAGAGATAAAATGTTACTACTTGCATACTGTATAATTTGATTCTGTCAGAGCTCAGTATTGTAGAATATAAGAGATATAGCAGATTTCTCCGCACTTATTAATACGAATCTCATTAAAGATAGAGTAAGATAGTACGCTTTATCTCTTCTTAGTCTATTCTTATCCTTGTCTATATATAGCTTTCAAATCATAAATTATCACCGCACTACCCATTCAACTGTGTGTGTATAAACACGTGACTAAGCTCATCTATTGACGTTCGAAAAACGAACCTTCTGAATGTTATGGACTCGCAATATAAAAGAGTAGTGGGGTGATAACCGCGTGTACGTTTGTTGGATTGTGACTATTTTCCCTACAAAATTTTTATTGTCTCTAAGAAATAATTATGGTCTCACAAAACTTAAACGACACATGCAACTTGTTGCCTCTTTGTAGTTTCTATAAATTTAAAATTAAATAAGTTTTTCATATATTTTTCTCGATTACACTTTTCAGTTTAACTCATTACACACTCGGACATTGCGATTAGAAAAAAAATGGAGGTGATTTTTTTCTTAGTAAACGTTTAGTGAAAACGTTTACTAAGAAAACAGTCACCTTAATTAGGGTTAACGAGATTATATTTTCCAGGGCTCACTACCTACTTAATGTCAACATGGTAACAGTAAAACAAAATGATAAAACGTCATAGTCATAGTCATAGTTTTCTTACTGCTTTACATTCAAGATGACATACCTCGTTGATAAATAATGCTGTCCTTTTCTTACACTGTAGCACTACATTGTCATATGTGTTATGCTCGTATAAAACATTTTGACGTCACTTCCGACATGTTGCAACTTACTCCTAAAACCTTCTGGCGGGTTATGAACTCCGCGTACCAGTACATCGCAATTATGCATTTGTGTACTGTATATATGCATGCCTACAATATGCACATACACTATGCAATCTCATAAAAACCATTCACCCATATGGGCAAGCTCCCAACATAATTCGACAAACGAGAAGTAGTGCAATCGACTGTATCGTGTAAACTGAATATGTTTGAAATAATTTAGAACATCAAATATTTGTTTATTAATTTAATAGGAAAAGAGAATTTATTTATTCTATAAAACATAGAACAAACAACCCAACCCAAACAAACAAACCTTATTTAAATTTAAATTTGACGAAGACTTGATTAGTGATGAAGATTACTAATCTGCACAAACTTTTTTGTTTTTTAGTTGTTACGCACTTAAAAATTACATTAATTACATGGAAAAATATGTTTATAGTCTTATTATTGCTTTTATTTACTAACAAAAATATTAAAATTTATTTAGAGCAAAAACGCTGAACACATTTTAGAACGCAACAAAAAACTGCGCTGCAAAATGCATAAGGCTGTAAAATGGTAAATCCCACTAGGTCTGCAATGTTGCAAATGTATCACCCTGAAAATGTACCAGGATCGCATAAACACCAAGTATTACTGAGGAACGACTACAACGGGTAAGTGAGGATGTGCATAGTATTTAAATATAAATTTTCAGCGGCATACACAAAGCTCATCGTTTCTGAGCTTTGTTGTACAGTGCAATACGTTTCACAATTGAATTACATGAAAAAATTTATTGATTTTATGATGATAGAATGATAGTCTCTCTCACTCACAATTGCTCTCTTCATACATGCACTGTACTCTGATGTGATGTCATTTCCGTTGTGCTTACTTCATTTCCTGGATTCATTCACAGATATAACTCCTGGCATTTATGCCTTCCTTGTACTGGTGCATCGTTCTTATGTAATTTTTATAGACTTGCATTTATCTCATCAGTCCTACACATGTCAGATGCAAGTGCAAACAAGGATCTAGGAACTGAATAAAAATGAAATAGAGAGAGACAGAACATCGACTTTTTAAAATCAGTGATGACATAAAGTCGACCAGATTTTAAATGTGGAAAGCTGACTTTTGTCCCTGTCATTGATAAACTTCAAAAGAGTTAAGTTGGTGAAGATGATGATTCCAAATTTCAACCATTCATATTGCTAAAAATTTTACCTAAGAGTAAACACTAATAATGGTTTTAAATAAGGTGTTACGTATGACCCGTATTTATTTTACTTGCTATTGTAAAAGAAATAAATACCTACCATCAAGATACATTTGTTGACAGACTATTAAATGCCTT